CCACTTTTTCCTGCCCATGGTTTGGAATACCTCCACCTGGAGGAGTGGTGGTTACTTAAAGGGTATGCAGACAATGATGAAAGGGTCAGAGAAGGCTGCTCAGCTAGAGCCTCTCTTCTGCAGCTTAGCTACCAAGACAACATTCTCTGGAGCCAAAGAACCCGCAAGCAAATAACCCTCTTCTCATTTGGTCTCTGGGGTTAGGGGTTGCATAGGGTCAGTAGTGTTTTTTCTGGCTGTGCATTTCTGTAACACACACACACACACACACACACACACACTCCCCCCGCCCGCCAACCGGTCAATCCTAAATCTCACGCACGCATGCAAACACGCACGCACCAGTCAATCCTAAATCGGAGTTCCTGGGGTATGTATGAGACCTCAGCTTGCATATTGTAAAAATACTCCTCACTTAAATCTGATGGACAAACAGCCAGGGCCTAGATTCACCCATAAACTATTGCTCTTGACTGAATGGGTAAATGATCTTGCTTTAGGTGAGAGATCAGTGTGACTTGAGTGTTTTTAAAAGTTAACTGAATATAAATGATTAGTTTATGTACCTAAACAGAGGTATGAGTATTGTAATATTGTTAGCATGAATACTAGTAAGATCAGGCTAAAGAGTCAGACTTAATGGACTGCATTTTGGTAAGTGCTGATTTAGTCCAAGGCAAAAAGGAAAAGCTGTTTGTTCATCATAAACCATACTTCTCAGGAATCTTGGGACTTTCTTTAAAAATGAAGGTAGCCAGTAATGGAGCTGCTGATGGTAATCTCTCCTTTAGGCGACCCATGTCTGGCTCTCTCCCTTTCAAAAAGGGGAAGGTTATTTTTTTTTTCAAAAAAGACTTTCGGAGTGATAGATTTATTTTTTAAAGACTTTATTACAGTATTTATTTTTAGAGAGAAGGGAAGGGAGGGAGAAAGAGAAGGAATGAAACATCCATGTGAGAAACATCAATCGGTTGCCGATCGTACATGCCCCAACTGGGGACCCAGAGCCTGTGCTCTGACTGGGGTTCAAACTGGCAACCTTTTGCTTTACAGGACAGTGCCCAGCCAACTGGAGCCACACCAGTCAGGACAAAATGATAGATGCTTTTATTGTTATTAATAATTCTCGGGGAGAAATGTTCACTATGATGGATTTCCCCCCAAAGATGAGTATCTTTATTTCAATTTTTGTTTATAGTTTAGGTCTCTTCTGCCAACATACTTATCTTGAAAGAAGATTTTGTGCCGATCTGCACGTTTGAGAGAGATTTCTATGTGGAGGACCCTGTTGGTAGTAATCACTCTATTAGCCATTTTCAAGAATGCTTCATTGTTTTTACATCCTGGCCTTCCAAAGCTGCCATCTTTACCTGAAACTGGGCTGCATACTTTCCCTTTTCTGCTCATCTCTGTTACAGATGTGACTCAGCATCTGTAAAATGGATCAAAAGTATGTTAAGGCAGGAAGACAGTAGATACAGGAAGCAAGAACCAATAATTGAGTGTTCTTTTATTTGTTCGGTACAAGGACCCAGGCAGAGCCATATACTGGGAGCTTGAAAAACTTGAAAGTGGTGAGGAAGGGTATAAAATCTCTTCCTGGAACACACGAAACACGAGTTATGAAACATGCTGTCTGCAATATTTGAGTCCTGTCCTGAAGCACTTCTGCACATTACTTAAAGCAAGTAAAACCCGAACTTTTTTTAAAGGTTTTGTTGTTGTGTGATAGGAACACTCAGCTGCTCATCCTTCTGAGCAGCACCGGTAGGGAGCACGGGGCGGGAGAAGCCCCAGTTCACCGAGCGCGGGTATCTGTGAACAGCCTTGGGCTGCTTCCTATGGTTGAGCTACTTGAAAACAAGCACACTGCCTCTGAAATATCAGGAAGCTCAGTCACAGAAACACCTGAACACTCAGAGGCCATCCTGCTGGCCTTGAATTTGTGAATTTGCTCTGCGGAGGGAGTGGCCATCTCAGAGGGAATTCGATTTTGCTGCCGAGCCCTGGGCCACTCGTGCCGTCACGGAGTGAAGACAGTCCGTGTTCAGTTGATCCAGTAACAGAGGCCGCATTTTGGATAGGGCCACGTTTGAAACCCAGCTCCTTGGGCAAGTTACCGCACCTCTTCCCGCCTCAGTTTCCCCACATGTAACATGGAGATAGTAGTGGGACCTACCTCATTGGCTGCAGTGAATGAAGAGTATCTGTGCAAACTGCTGGCGCGCGCCTGGCTTGTAGTGAGTGCTGTGTGGGTATAAACTGTTGCTCTGCCATTGCCATTACTATTATTAGTGTTACTGTAACTCTTCACAACTTTTCTCTGCTCAGGGATCATGTCTAATTTGTAAAACTTCCACACTCCTTATTTTTCCTACTTGCTTACCTTTTGGCATTTTTCTGCCACTGTCTTAACCCACCCACCCAAGGATGAAAAGAAAAAAATTTTCAGATTTGTCATGTTTTATTAAATATGTCAAACATAAGGTAGAAAGGACATATTTATAGGAGAATGGTATTTTTAAAGGTTAAAAAGAATAACATGTCATTTGAAGTGTGAAAAGTAGAAATTACTAGCCTATTGCCTTGACATAACTTTTAAAATATTCTGTGTACACATGCTGTACATGGTTGTAATTGTAGAGAGCATACCGTTTTATGGGCTTTCACCACTCAGCATGAGTGCATACGCATTTTTCTCTGTCCCTTAGCCTTGACAAATTATTCTCAATGTTTTGTTTTGTTTAAAGATGTTTTATTTATTTTTAGAGAGAAGGGAAGGGAGGCAGAAAGAGGGAGAGAAACATAATGCACAGTTGCCTCTCACGTGCCCCCAACTGGGGACCTGGCCTGCAACCCAGGCATGTGTCCTGACTGGGAATCGAACCAGCAATCCTTTGGTTTGCAGTCCACTGAGCCACACCAGCCAGGGCTCAATGGTTTTGTATGACCGGCTTGTTGTATATGCTGCTTCCTTTTTAGAAATGTTACAAGTAAAAGGCAGTGAAAATCCTACTGCAGATGGTTGGGGGTTATCTTGGAAGACTTTTTTTTTTCTTTTTTCTTTTTTGATTAGGAATTTCTGCGTTTGTTTCCTGATACATAGGAATCTCTCTGTAATGTGATTCTTTGGAAAATTAGCTTTATGAAGATGAAATAGCCCAGTCCTTGTAATAATACCAAGTTTGTAACTTGGGATCAGAGGCGACGCTGCTGTTTGTTAGGATCTCTGCACGAGCACAGGCCTGTGCCTGCTGCTGGGGGACTCTCCCCTGCGTCCGTCTCTGTGGGCCTGAGCCGCCCGCTGCAGGGTCTGCCGGCCGCTTGCGCTTAAATTAATGAGAAGGAAGTAAAATGAATGGCCCAGTTCCTCACAGTCACACTAGCCACGTTTCGTGTGTTCAGTAGCCACATGGGGCTAGCGGCTTCCGTGGCGGACAGTGCAGATTCGAACATTTCCATGATTGCCAAAAGTTCTGTTGAAGAGCGCGGCTCCAGCTTATTCTCTGACGTGCTCAGTTCTGTAACTTCACAGTGACAAGGAAGAGCCGCCTCCTGTTTGTTGGATTTTCTAGAGCAGAGGTCAACAAACTTTGGGTGCCAGTGTTTTTGTATAAAGGTTTATTGGGACACAGGTACACCTGTTTGTTTACCTCTTACCTATGGCCGCTTTTGCGTTACCACAGCAGAGCTGAGTGTTGAGTAGTTACTAGAGGCCGGATGTGGCCCACGGCCTGTAGTATTCAATCTCCCGTTACGAAAGTTTGCTAATCCCTTTTTCTAGAGCAGGGTACCTCCACCTCAGCACGACTGATGTTTTGGTTTGTGTAATTACTTGTTGTGAGGGCTGACCTGTGCATTGTAGGATGCTCAGCAGCATCCCTGGCCTCTAGCCACTAGACACTCACAGCACCGCCGGCCCCCCTGCCCCGCCCCAGTTGTGACAAGCAAAACTTTCTCCAGACATGGCCAGACGTCCTCCGGGAGCAAAATCACCCCAGCTGTGAGAGCTAATTTACAGTGATGGGGCTTGACAAGATACCCGTCTGTAATACTTAAAAAGTCCATTTAAAGAGCAGAATAAATTAAACAATATTTTTAATGTTACATTAGCACTCCCCCCAGAAAGAGAAGTGTCTCCTTTAACGTGACAGAGTAACTAGAATAGTGCAGAGAAGTGGAAGCACTGAGGTTCCTCAGTTCACTCTCCAGTGACTGGGGGCAAGTAGGGTGGAAGTCACAGCATCTCAGAAGGTAATGGGGACACGTGGTTTCTTTTACAGGTTTTCAGGGCCTGCTCAATGAAACGCTGGTCACTGCAGGGTTTTTGTCAAGTATGTGTGTAGACCCAGCACCTTATGGTGAATCTGGCAAGAAGGGTGTTACCAGATGTTTATTAAGAAATGCAATAAATATGTACTTACCTGTCTCATTTATGATTTTAAGTGGTCCATATAGGCTCTTACCCTCATTACCCAGAATAATTGAATAACTGGTTATATTTATCTTAATTAGAAGTTACGAGAATTGAATTAAATGTCAAGACCTCTAAAATTGTGTTCAGTTCTTTTGAGATCTGGTGTTTGGATCCCCACTTTTTTTTTTTTCCAGAGTGGGGATTTCCAAAGCTGTAGGAAAATGCCATGTTAATAAATTAACTCCTCATTTTTTAAGAATGTAGACTGTTGGGGCACAAGTTTTAATAAACTACGTAATACTTCTAAAATCTCAGTTTAAAAAATGAGATGAATTTGAATTGGGGCAGTCACCTTTCAAAGTGAATATAAGGTATACCTTTATCTGGTCCTTCAAATTAAAAGTAACTTAAAAATTTTTTAAGTTGGTATTGAAAGGAATATGTAATGGAGATCACATGTGATGGGCACACTTCCATGTGGTTAAATATCTAGGAACGTAAGCAGTTTTGACTGCTGAATAGAAGTGAATTCTAGGCGAACTTGTTTGTTCTGTGCGTGATGCACTTCTGTTTGTTTTTCCAGATCTTACCAATATATTTGAGTCCTTCCTGCCCCAGTTGTTGGCCTATCCTAACCCCATAGACCCTCTCAATGGTGATGCTGCAGCCATGTACCTCCACCGACCAGAAGAATACAAGCAGAAAATTAAAGGTAAGAAAGCAAGTAGTTTAACCTGGAGACAAAAGAATTTAAGTCTGTTGGGCTTTGATCATTAATCATCCCTCTTAGTAACTGCCTCTTAGTTACTAATGATTTTTCTCAGCTGCTGGCTGGAGCAGAGCTCAACAGCCTCTGTAGCTCCCAGGGTTAGAGGCAGACTTTGAAAGGCTGGGGGGCAAGGAAGAAGGGAAGGAGAGAGGAGGAGGAGAAGGAAAGATGAGAAAGGGGGAGGGTTAACTGTTGGGTGTTGTAAATGGAACCCTGCCAGAAATCCCTGTAGACACCCATTCAAAAGAGCCTTTGCCTGCATGGCTTCCGCTTGTCTTGTAAAATTAGAAAATCGGACCTGAGAATAAAGTATGAATTGAAAGGTATAATCTCACATTTGTTTATAGACTGGTATCCTGGCCCTCAGGAAAACAGTTACTTTTGGGAGCTGGGAAAATAACGGCTAGAAAAAATCTAGCATTAGACTTTTTAAAAATTATGTCATTTTACCTGTTGAATTAAAAACACCCAGCCGGCTTCCTTTCTTGGTCCCACACTGGTGTGCGGTTACTCTGAGATGTTTTCCTCCAGGCCCATTTCTCCCCGACTGCAGGTCATGGCCCCAGTGCCCTGGTGGTGTGGGAACTGTCTATTAAAACTTGAAATGTACTATTAAAGTTAGAAATGTGTTAGTGACGGTCGCACTAGTGTCCTCACCCTTTAGGATGCAGAATCCTGTTTTCCCATTCTCAAGCAGTTTACATGCTAATGGGGCATGACTTTCACGGAAAGGAAATTGCAGTCGCAGAGAACGTTTAAAGCTTCACCCCGGCTTACTGGGGCCCATCATGAGGTCCTCTTGCTCTGCGTGTGCGTGAGAGCTTTCACAGTGAAAAGTCTGGATACATAACATTCCACAAAAAGGAAGAGAATCCAAAGTCCATGGAAATAGGCCTGTTCTTCTTAACAAATGGAAGGCATTGATATATACCCAATTTTTAGCAGTACTTGCCCAGCCGCCTAGCAGTTCAGAACATCAGATAATCTGCAAAGCATGTGCCCCCTCTGGGGTACATTTGCAAGGGATGGTAGTAGAAATGATTTATGAGAGCTTGAACATATAGGTCTCCGTTCTGAACTGTGCAGGTAGGAGACAAACAGGAGCCTGTGGGGCTCCTGATGGAACATGGTTTTCCTTCTGTTGTCTCATCATCTGTGGTCTCTACAGGGTATTGTTTGGTACTTTTGTTGAGATAAAGTAGAAATAAATCTACTCTAATTATTTTACTTAGGTTTCAGGTGCTTTGCAGATGATCTGGTTTATGCAGCAGAATATCTAGATAGCCCCCCCCAAAAAAAACTCTATTAAAAAAAAAAGGCAGTTTCAACCTGATGAAATTCTATTATGAGACTGTATTAAAAATTTGACAAAGGAATCACTTGACAGTGCCTGCGGCCCAGATGCCTCGGTGCGGAGCACATCTCTGTAGTCCTGACGCTCATTATGCCACAGTAGTTCAACGCTGTTCCCCTTTTAGTGCATGTCTGCTATAGTACCAGTTGGAAAAGGAACCCAGCCGGCATTTTTATCGTAGAACGGCTCGCTTTAGCTTTCTGAAATGTTAATGTTGGCTATCATTTTGTCTTCCTTGGTAACCTGAGAAAATCATGGCTGTCAGACCTGAGCTCACCCCACCTTTCTGCTATACATACTTGATTATATATCCATCCCCATCTTTTGTTTGTTCCTTCCGACAGGAAATAAGAGGTGTCTGGCTTATTTCTCAGACTCACTCCCTGCACCAGCCTAGGACTCTTTTCTCCCATGTATCTCCTCCCTCCTGGGCCTTCCTCTTTCCCTAGACTCTCAGAGGCATCGCCCTTAGGAAGCTTAGGTCTGCTCCTTCTCCGTGGATTCCTTCAGGAGGTCTTGCTGTTTATTTCCTGTCACTTTCAAACTTCTTCCTTCCTTGCCTTAAACTGGTGAGGTCTAGTTTGTTTCCCCTCCTATACTGAATCTGTGATCTCTTTTCTTCCTAATATTTTGGACCCTTCTCAAGACCAGTTTTCATGGACCTCTCTCCAGCTTTGGTATTTTACCTCCTGCCTTTCTGAAAACGTTTCTTGTTCCATTCTCAAACACGGTCATTCTCTTTAAGATTTGCTCCTTCAGGCCCTTCCTCCCCCACCCCTTGGGAATCCTAGTTGCCCCTCCCAATTCAGGTAATCCCCTCCAAGTGGATGGTTTCCAAAAATGTGTCTAGATACAACCTCACTCCCAAGTTGCCCATCGGACATTTCCACGCCCGACATCACACGCAGGTTGGTGCATGCGCCCTTTCTTACCACAAACAGTATCCGCGTTCACATTGAGTTGATGCTGTTTGACCTTGTAAATGTTGGACTGCCTGTAGAACAGGGCATCGTTGAACTGTCTGAGATGTCATTTCCCAGCTCAACCTTCACTGAGTGGCATCTTAGCTTGCCATTCCCGGTTCTCTGCTCCTGTGTATGACCTGCATCTTTTCCTTTATTCTTCTAAATGCATCGATATATGACAGTAAAATGGGATGAATTTCATACCCCAACTACATTCTTTTCCTTAGGGAAAGTTTCAGCACTGCAGAAAAACAGATGATAATTTAACCATGCATCCCACCATCCAACTCTAGATAAATCTGTACATGTTGCCTTATTTGCTTCAAAAATTTTTGAGGAAGAATGCAAATGTAGTTCTCTCTCAGTGTTGAGTTTTGCCACGCCAGCCACTGCCTTCTCCCTCTGCACTTTCGGCACTGCTCTGGCTTCCCCAGATTGGCGAGCCTCCTGCCAGTCCTGCGCTGCTACGGCAGCAGCCTTTAAGGGGTCAGCGCAGAGGTGACTCCTTCCTGGCCCTCTAGCGGAGTCCCCTCCTCTGTGCTTCCCTCTGATGGCACTTCTCTCTCCATCTGTTTCTCCTGCTCATCAGTCACCTTGCTCTTCATTTTTCTCTCTTCTGAAAGGCCTTATCCTTGTCAGCACTTAATACACGTGTGTCTCCCTGCGTATCCCTAAGAAAGCTGACAGCGTAAAACCAGGAGGGGAGGCCTCCCTACAAAGGAAGAAACAAAATAGCCAACCCATTGAAGAGTAAAAATAAAATCCCAAGGGCATTAATAAACATTCTTCTCACTCTAAAAGGTGAACTAAGCTCAGTTTCTATCTAGTTAGGGGCTTTTTTTTTTTTTTTCAAACTCATTACCTCAATGTAAAATTTTGTAACTAAGGATTTGTAGGACTCTAAGTCAGAAATCTGCAAACTTCTTTTGTGAAGGGCCATATTTGGCCATATGTGGTCTGTCACTTTCTTTTTTTAAAAACCCTTTAAAAATATTTTTTAAAAATACTCTTATCTAGGTTCCTGCCCTAAGTTATTCAAATTTGGCAAGCCCGTTTGGCCATTTACCTTCCTCTTTCATTTAGTCCCTGTAATTCCATGGGAAGAAAAACAAAGCTTAAGGACATGGGGATATGTTGGGCTTTCTTTTTCTTGCTGTAATTTTGCATAGGATTCTAAATGTCTCTCATATTGTGTGTTGGCTATTTACTTGAGAACAGTATGCACTTAAAGACTTTACAAACAAGTTTAATTGTTTATTCAGCAGTTTTTCAGCCTCAGTTATTGGAGCATAAATCTTTACCAGCTGCTTCAAAAGCCTGACAGGCAGGATCTGCTTAAACTAAAATATTTCTAAAATAATAGATTTGGGCTGACTATGATTATAGAACTGAAAATCTAAAAATGATGGGGGATTTCCTTATAAATTACTATGGAATCATAACTGGTCCAGTGTTGTCTGGGAGGTGAATGGTTTTATTAATCGAGAAAGTTAACAGAAAGTGCAGGGATCACATTTTCCTAACCCACCAAGCCTGGAGGAGGGCGACCCTACTGGTCAGCCAGCAAGGAAGGCTGGAGCGCTGGAGGCTGCTGAAAGCCAGCCACCGTCCTGTTTGTCTGCTGACCTTCCCGTGCCGTGCCTCAAGGCGTCAGGGCGCTCGGCTGCCTTGCCCACGTCCATCGGTGGGCATTCGTCCTCCTGGTAGGTGTTCATCTGTCCGGGAGGCATTGGCCCAAGGGAGCTCTGGGATGGTGATACAGCGTATTCCTCTATGACGCCTGTGTTCTGCTTTGCCTCTCTCACTAATAGGGGCAAAATGCATAAGCTCCAAAGTCTTCCCCTCAGTTTGCAGGACCACAACTGTCGTCTTTTCACCCCCGACACGGAAGGAGAGCTTGGACTTCCCTGAGACTTGCCAACTTTGGGGTCGCCGAAGCGCATGCCTGCCTGCTCACTGCCCTTGTGTTTTCTTTATCCCTGTCTCCTGTGCAGAGTACATCCAGAAATATGCAACGGAGGAGGCACTGAAAGAGCAGGAAGAGGGCACCGGTGACAGCTCGTCGGAGAGTTCTATGTCTGACTTTTCGGAAGATGAGGCCCAGGATATGGAGTTGTAGTAGAAAAAGCACCTGCTTTTCAGAAAGACTATTATTTCCTAACCATGAGAAGCAGACTATAATATTCATATTTAAACAAAGCAATTTTTTTTATTACTAAACAAGGTTTTTATGAATAATAGCATTGATATATATATATTATATATCACCCTTTAGATCTTGATTTCTTGGTCATTTCTCAACCTGAGGTGCATAGCATATTCCCACATTCCATTTTGGTAGCAATATGCGGTCCGAATGCATGCATTCATAAGTCCATTTGGCCAAGTCAGCCTGTGTGCTACTGAACTGTCAAAAGAAATAGCCGCTCTGATAGATAGAAATGAGTAAAAATAACAGGAAAAAGTTGCTTCTTTTATTGATGGTTCCAAAGAAACAAACCAAACCAACCAGCTCTTGGATGTGAAGATAGAATAGTGCTTTTTCAAAATGGAAAGGAAAAAAATTGGGGAGAAGGCCTGCGGTGGGAGCACTGAGAGCCAGCCACGCCGGAGTCGGCGCTCCCACCCGGATTCCCACGTGGCCCCGTGTCTGTGGAGTAACCGTGTAAACAGGGAGCTAATTGGAGTAATGAAACCTAAAACAATTTTTGCCTCGGATTTTGAGTACATTTTTATGTGTAGATTCCCGCCCTTCTGGCTACCCGGCCCTGCAGCCCACGAGTGCGTTGCTTTGGAGAACCTTTGGAGAGCGTTTTCTGAGCCTGATCCTTTCTCCTGGGGTAGAGTTTGTAAGGCAGACCTTTTCTGAGGACAGGACAGGAAGAGAAAGGCGACCGGGAAGATGTCTCCTCCCGTCGGCACGCGCAGAGTCACGTCCTCATCCTGTTGCTGGCTGCTGCCCTGGACTAAGAGCTTTACATTTGAGGGTGGTTGTGGGTTATTTTTGTTTGGGGGGTTTGTTTGGTTTTTTGGGGTGTGTGTGAATTGTGCTTAGACAGGTTACAAAGTTAATCTTCACCTGCCAAGAGATGGCCCCCGCCTCGGACAGCCGATCAGTGGACCATTAGACTCTGGAAGAAGACCCGTCTGGTGGCGTGACTCCTGGGTGCTGTCACTCACGCCTTGGTTTCGGTTTCCCCTCTGCTGCTGCTCTTGGCGGCGGCCTGGTCATCATCTGCTTGTGGGAGTGGGAAATGGGTATTTTAGACCCAACACACATTCTGAATTTCAAATGAGTAATCATTGGAACAAATAAAGTTTCTTGTACCCAAAGTGACTCTACCTGGGGAAAACACAGCTTTTTTCAGAGTGTGACTGAAGAGAGGAAAGGATTCAGAAATACGATGTAGTAGTAAGCCAGGTTTTGAAGGCAGAAAGCCTTCTCTTCTGTATATGTTAAGAGGAAATCAGACAGTGTAAAATGCCTGCTAATGAAATGTTTACTCAGCTAACCATATGTCCAGGTTGCCAGCAGAGTTTCCTTCCAACCCAAGTGTCGCCTGCTGAATTTGGAGAGCTCCAAATGGCACCTCTGCGTTCTTTTCATGGCGCAACCAATAGGACAAGAGCAGAAATAGCCAATCCTAAAACCTCCTAAAGACAGTTTTTGAATGTCCCACTGGGATAATTTAATTTTTCTTTCTGATGTGTGTTTTTAGTTTAGAAGTGCTATATTCCACAAGATTTGAGTCAATGAGGTTGGAAGATACCCTATCTTATTCAAAAAGCACAATCTTTTCTTTGAAAATCTATATAAAGTACAACTTGCTTTTAGCATGATTATTTTCCTAAATAAAAAAAAGACAAAGAATTTACTTATTTTATGTTAATTACGGGCATGAAGCAAAAGGTTTTCTTTCAAAAAAAAAAAAAAATTGCAAGTGCGGTTATGTAGGGCTGTGGTTAGTTACCCGTACTGAGTTATCTAGCATTTGTGGCTTGTTGGAAGGGTAGTATTAACTATTTAACATGTGATGGTGTACTTTTAACTCTTATCTAGCACGTTGTCTTCTCATTACTTTGGGGGGGGAGGGTCTCTGCTGGCACTGTCTAACTTGCTTACCTGCTGAACTAGCAGTTTGCTTGTGCTATAACTTATTGTAGGTGCGACTTAGGGTAGGCTTAAAGTGCTGGGTGGTGATTTGAGTTCAAACAATAAAAAATTGTATTTTTTCAATATTGTATAAACAATAGTGTTCTAATTACATTTCAAAAAAAAAATAATGTCCAGATAATTGCTTTAAATCTTGTCCAAAAAAAACCCTAACAGAACCGAATTTAGGGAAGGTATGTGAGCAGTGTCACAGCTCTGCTCCCGGCTAAATCCTTGTTTTTCTAATGAAAAGACATCAGCTTGCCTGCGATCCAGAGCTCTAGCCCTAGAAACCCGGTGGTGCAGAGTGCCCAGCTGAAGACTTGGTGGGGAGGTTGCAGGGATTAAGAAGCAGATCTGAGTGTGGCTGCTCTGTGTGTGTGTGTGTGTGTCCATGTCTGTCCTTGTGTGTCCATCCAAATTCATGTGATGAGGTATAATTAGGACTTCTCTATTAGCACGGGAAGCTTCTGGAATTGCTACTCAGATCACGCTGTGTGCCTCATTCCATGCAAGCCTGTCTCATCGGAGCACTGACCTTGGTCCCATGCGTGTTTTTGGCTGTGTAAGTCTTTTCCTCTCTACTGCAAAATTGAATTTGGATAAGTTGAACAGAATCCCTCCTTGATGCTAACTTTTTGTTCCTTCCCTGTACCTGGAAGAGGTAGGTGTAGGAGACCATACTTACATGTGAAGAGGGAGCTAGAAGAGGTCTGGCTGTGAATCTGAGGACTCTGGGCCCCCAATATTAAGATGGTAGAGGAAGGCTCAATCGGGTGTTTTCAGCACCAAAAACTTTCCCAGATTGTCCCATCACAGCAGTCAGAAAAGCATGTGGAGCCCCTCAAAGTCTGGATGTTACTGCTTTCAAAGGTGGTGGTGGTGGTGGTGGTGGTAAGTCAGTTGCTTCTGGCAGTTCCCCTCCTTTCTTGGTACCCATAGTTTGAAGTCCTTCCTTGTGATTTAGCAGCGCAGGCCATTCGTTGCCTGTTCAAATGACTGAGCTCAAGCTCTCGCCAAACACCAACAAGCAGGATGGCTGTGGTGGTGAGTTCGCTGCTCTGGCTGCCCCAGCCCCGGGGCCTTGTGGGTTGCTGTTTCTCGGTAGCCAACCTAGACAATGGCATTTTTGCTCTTTTAGTCTTTAATCTCCTCTAATTGCCCTCCTTGAGGTTACTGTGCAGTTTCAACCAGCATTTTATACTAGTAAGATAATTATCAGAAGTTGCCATGAATCTCTCCTGTACCTAACATTTTTTTCTTCCACTTCAAAAGCTGTTCTAATTGCCAACTGGCTGATCTAAGCTCCTGGAAAGTATCTCCCCGTGAAGGAAATGTTTTCCCTCAAAAGTCTCCCTGAAGCCCTAGTTGGCCTTGGCCTGACACTTGCTTTTTATTAAGCCTCCTGTTGGGATGGTTGAGAATCATGAAAAACAGACCCTCCACTAGCTTCCAAGGGTCAAGTTTCTGGGAACTAGTGTTTGATTTTAAATGGCATGTGACCCTTCTAGGAACTCAATTAGAAAAGTGAAAGCCATTAACAAAAGCAAGTTTTATTTCGTCTGCTTTCTGACTGGGTTCACAGCCTCATTGACTGAAATCAAATTTCTGACTGGGCACAAAGACCTGTGTTTCTTTGGACTTCTGAATCCATGTTCATATTTTCTCTGGCCACTGAACACCTTGGCGATTCCATCGGGGACTGGCTGGGGCGGAGGCCCCTCGGGGAGGGGGAGCTAACAGCGCTCAGGTGTGCCGGTTGCCCGCTCACCTGAGGAAGGGCCAGGACTCTTAATTCGTCAACTACTGGTCTTGGCTGTGGGCTTGGGAAGAAATGGCCATCATTTGCTGATTGTATTTGGTACATATTGTGTGATACTTGAAGAGTTAAAAGGGACTTACCAGCCCTGAATTGAAATCGAAGCTTTTTATCACTTCTCTTTCCCTCGCCCTGTCTCCTGCCGTCCACCGTCCTCCTTGCATTGTGATGATCTAGTGGGCACTTCTGTCAACAGGACAAATGCCTCCTCTGACTATAACCTCTTAATAGTTGTGTATAATGAAAACTGTAAACTTTTTTAAATAAAATGTGTATATACCTTGGCAAATGGCTGGACCTTGATGAATGAGATAATAGCCCCCATGATTACTTAGCCTGTTTTTGAAAATACCATTCATCTGGCTCCTGAGCAGCAGCCGGCTCCCCACCCCCACCTTCTGACTAGGAAGCTCTTACAAGGCAGACCGGGTTAGCTTGGGAAGGGGGTGTCACGAGCAGGCAGTAATTACCACGGGGCCTCGTCTGTGGAGCAGCAGGTGGCTGCTGGCTATGAGGCTTCACCAGGACCTTAAAAAGCCATCTCTTCCATGAAGTCCTATAGCCTGAAGGACCCCAGGTCCCCCCAAGCGGGTCAGCAGGCAGCACTCCATGTAACTGTTAGCCCGAACCTTCCAGGCCCTGTCAGCTAATTCTGAGCCGAGCGGTGTCCCCTTGCCCTGGAGGTCACAGGCAGTGCGGCTTCCTGCCAGGGGCCATTCTGCTCAACAGGTGCCCCGCCCCGTGGCAGGTGCCAGGTGCCAGCCTCAGCCAGGGACAGGAGAGCAGGGGGTATTGCATCAGGAGCTGACCAGGGAAGTATGGCTGCATTTTCATTCCTTTCTGAAGCTTATGCCCTCAATGGCCACCAGGTGGCGATATTGTCCTAGTATATCTGAGGATACTCAGGCTGAATTGTGTCAGAAGGCCTTTAAGATAACTGGACGAGTTCCTTTGGTCACAGGTTCTCATTCGCCCAACTCCCCAGTGTTTTCTTCTTACTCATTTCCCTCACACTCCTTTTTTTCCCTCGCTGCATCCTGATATACTCCGTAGTAGGCCCAGCTTTGTAGGTACTCGGGAGAAGGAGGGTGGGCCTCCTAAGAAACATCCAGTGTGAATAAACCTCAAGCTCTCCTGCGGCACATAAACCTCCAGCTACCCTGGCTGCCCCCAGTGCTCAGAGGCAAAACATTCAACAGGCTCTTTGCAGGTGGTCTCACCAGCCCCTCAGCCAAGGCTGTAACGGACCAAAGGACTGAACCTGCACTGTGAGTTCTGGTCCCACCTCTTTCATTAGATGTGTGGCCTCAGGTTCATGTGTAAAAGAAAGTTCCCTGAACTAGTAGGTTCTGACTCTAACAATTGGTGATTCAATTCCATCTGGGTTCTGAAACAATATTGGATACGTTTCCTGAGAAGAATTACATCAACCCAAGAAGCACCAAGGTCTCAGGATCTGAGTTGAGGGTTTTTGAATGGAAACAGCTTTGGGAGTTTGGAGCACCCATTTTCCAGCTGAAAGGAGAATTAAGAAGTCTATGGGTCATGTGAGTAGAATCTATCATATCACAAAGCTGCATTAAAAACCGTCCTGGCTGGTGTGGCTCAGTGGATTGAGCGCCAACCTGCAGATTGAAAGGTCACTGGTTCAATTCCCAGTCAGGGCACATGCCTGGGTTGCAGGCCAAGCCCTCAGTTGGAGGCATGTGAGAGGCAACCAGTTGATGTATCTCTCCCTCTCTCAGTCCCTCCCCACTCTCTAAAAGTAAGTAAAATTTTAAAAATAAAAACTCCATGACGAGTCCCTGTGCATTCAGTGGTGATCTCTCACAGCACCACTCTCACTTTAGCCTCAGTCCCCACTTCCTAAGGTGGGTGGCGCTCCGCTGCCTGCCTGAGCCCATGCCCCCGTCCTGGGAAGGGGCACCTGGAAATGAAAGTGGAGGGCTCGGTACCCCAGAACTCTCACCACCCTTAAATTCTCTTGCCATCTCTGAAGGCTGCTCTCTCCCCCGGGAATGAGTTTCCATGACGCTGGGCCGTGATGTCGCCTGCTCCCCACCTAGAACCAGGGCAAAGAATTGGCTCTCAGAACCCTTGGTCCTGCAGAGGCCCTGAAGCTCCTGACAGACTGAGCAACATTGCACATGAGAAAAGCTCGCAGGCTTCTGAGGGACTCAGATCCCTGGATGAGCCCAGAACAGTCCACCTTGAGCCAACCCTGCTCTGCAGTGCCTTGCGTCGTAGGGTGTGCACCCAGCACTTCTGGGAACTGAAGAGTTACTCTGACAAGGTCTACCGCTGGAGGATGAAGGACAGAGTAGCATCCCCCTCTTGCTGTGTGTGTGAGGTTCGTGTGCATGAGTGCGTGTGTGTGTCTGTAATGGAGGATGTTTCTTTTTGAAGAAGGCTGGCACTTCTGTGGACCTGGGTTCCTCAGAGCCCTTTAGGACTCGACACTTGGCTCCGAGGACCTGGTGTCCAGTGGTTGAGGTGGCAGGAACAGACTTGGGATTTCTACGAGAGTAACTCAGCCTTCTGGCTGCCTGGTCCTTGCCAGTTAACCTGGAGAGTTGCTGCGGGACAGCCGTGGGGTTTGGCCTCCACATCTGTCGGCTCCCCTTCCCGTGGGCCCTGTCAGCCAAGGCAGCCGGTGCAGAGCAAGTGGCCCCCTTGGAGAGGCTCAGCCCGGATTCTGTTCCCCCCAGTTCTATAAACAAATGAATCAGGTGCCTATATACGGTGCCCTCTGACATGTGGAACAAAGCTTTTAAAAGACGCACCTCTAAAAAGAATTATCTGCTGGTAACAAGTCAGCATTCCAGAAATGTGAAAGTCCCCCATCATGATCTCCTCCAGAGAGAACTGCCATCGGCGTGGCCGACGGCGACTCCACGCT